AACTGTCATTTGAATTTTATATAATTTGCAACTTAAACCTTCAGTAGAAATTCAATTTACAACTAGTGGAATGAAATCCATTCAGTGGTATACTTATTCCATTTAGAATTAAAAATGAAATTTAGCATATTAACATCCTGAAACCAATTTTTGTTGTAGTTAAAAGATAACCTTGCCTTTTAGCTTGTAGCTTAAAGGTATATTTTCAATAGGGATTTCAGGCAAAGCTGTGGTAGGAGGTGACCTTTGTTAAAAGTCACACTTCAAGTTCAACTTGGAAATATGAGAGATTTTCACTGAACTGACTCAGCTACAGTTTAGTCTGAGTGTCTTGTTAACAAACTAACCTGAAAACGCTGAGTTGATTGTCATCATTGCACGTTTTTGCAAAAATGTTCCCTTTAACTAAAACATCTATTAAGCATGTCCAGTGATGTTATCCAGTGATATTTAGAATTTGCTACAGTAAAATGCAGTGTTCACTTACACAAGATTGCACAGTACAGATATAGAGTGACAGATTGTTATCTATACAGAATCAACAGAGAAGTATGGGTATGCATAATTTCAAACAAGAACAACAAGAACAAAATGCTTAATATTCCAATAGATTATGATTTTGTTAGATCTCTAATATATTCATTGTATTAGTGTGAGGGAAAAATATCTGCCTAGTTTCTTTTTAAAAGGAGAATTCTCATAACACTTTAAATGTTGCCACAGAGTTCTATGTACCGATTGAGTGGCCTTCTTCAGTTCATTCAGATGTGAACAATTTTTGGTAAAGATGTGAAAAACCAATTTGGTATTTTTTGAGTTACACATACTCAGTCTTGAAAAAATACAATTTACAGTGAAATACAACTCAGTTGGGAAGAAGCTGTATAAACTATTGAGCTGTATTTGTATTTATTAACCGGCAAAAAAAATTGAAAATTGAATTTAGGTTCTCCACAAGCGGAAACACAAAGGCTCAGGGGAGCCTGCATCAAACTAGATTTTCAAACCATGTTGTTGAAACCAATATCATGGCTTCTTTCATGAAACAGATAAGATCCTCAGATGTATTGTACATATCCCCAGTATTATTTACTAATAAACAAGCTAGATTGGTCAAATGGATCCTTCTCGTTTATACTTTTTTTCTGTTCTAAAGGATATGTTTGCTACAAACGTTTCTCAAAACTGACATATTTAGGAATGTGCCGAACACTTTGGTTGCTGTGAAGTTTTATTCACAAGTGGAAAACAGAAACAATCCAATCATACGTGTGATCTGTTTTAAATATTATACACACCATATGATAAACACATACTGAAAAAAGTGCATTTGTTTCTTATATCTGAACAACATGAACAGTCAACCAACAAATGTTTTATTCCCATCAATCCATGCAAGATTTCTTATTGTTGAAATAAAATATTAACATTACCACATATTAAATCATATTAAACATTAATATCTACCAAACACCAAATCAAAACCTAACCACCTAGGATGTGAAGGCTGCTGTTTTTCTCACAGTGGCGTTTTTAAACGCGTGGAACACATTAATGTTTACGATGTTTACTATGACCGAGTAAAGTGGAAAAGTAATTTAGAGATTTTGAACAAAAATCAGAATACTCTTTCACTTAATTGATCATTTTTTTTATAGATAACAGTTGATCTATAAGAATAACTGGATAGGGGCTTCCCAGGGCTAGGATTGGAGATGTCTGATCTGAAGGATACCTGACATCATATAATGGTTTTCTCATTTTTTATTGATTGGTAGAAAGACATTTTGATTTAATCCAAGTCTTAACTGTAACATTAAAAAAACGAATATGTATAAGAATATATTATGTTTGCCATGGAAATTGAAATACACACACTGGAGTATTCAAGACATTTTTAGCTAATCTGGATTGTGTGGGAAATTTCTTCTATAAGTAGGTCACACTATAACAGCAGCGACATCATATTGTAATTAACCTTTGAATGCTGTTAATTATTTCTTAGCATGACAGGCCCCATATTTAAAGCACTTAGTATTTCTGTTCTGAGAAAGTGAAAGATTTATTAATAATTAAGTATGTATAAATGTCAGAATTCTGTATAATGACAATGTTATTCTTTACATTCTATTATGGCGTTTAATGCTGAGTCTTGGAACTTAACAGAGTTTATGTATCTAACTCTATCTATATAGTAATACATTGCTATATACAATAAATATATTCAGATGTTGTAAGTATTTGCAAGTTAAATAATCAGAGTTTTTCTGTGTATTTAAACATATTATAAAAAAGGCTAGATGAAACCCTCACCCCTCCCTTTTCTAAACCCAGATGAACTGACCCCTTTCTCTAAAAGCAGAAAATACAGTACTATGTGTGACCTAAACTCATACCTGAAAAAAAAATCATGGTTAGATAATGGTTAGGTAATAAGAAAATTACCTTGTGTGCACAGTTCTCTGGGTTTTTAATACGGATGACTGATTATCCATTTAGGCAGTTTGATTTTGTGTTTAATTCAGCTTTTTCACACCAGTTTCATACATTGGGGAGTGGTGACACTGGGGAGTGGTGATCACTCAATGTAAGGTCAGCCTTGCCATCCTGATGATTGCATTGATAAAAACGCAATATCTGAGCAAACAATATTATCTGCATTTTTGTGGTTTTGGGCAACCTCATTTGCCTCTCTAGAGATTAATAATGAGGAATAAACTAACCAAAATACGGTTTGTCTTTAATGACTGGCCTGTTTTATTAGCCTGGCCCTTAGGTGTCTGAGTATTTGTGTGGCTGGCCCTTGTGTCTCATCTACTGTAGCTATTTTTATCAATGGAAAATGTCTTGCTTACAGATGGGCTTGACTCATGGAAAATGAACACAAACGAGCACAACATGGGCAGTTGAGTCAGTGAAGCATTTCACTTCAAAGGCTCTTGAAAATGAATTTATATATGGATCTTTTTGTGATTTGTAACATAATTGTATACAATTATTTTTCAAATTGTATGATCCATACTGAGGCCATACTAAGTCTTTAGCACAGTCTGTCGATATCAATTGTTCTCTTTTCTACATTTATTTCCACATTTAAATGAAAATGCTATAGTACAGTAAAGGAGCCTATTTCTAGCTCATGTTCTGATTAACCATTGTTTTCATACATAAGGGATCATCTTAGGATTTAATTGTTCTATTACTTCTGAAAAAAGTGCGGGTATTTGTGATATATTATATTAAATTTAAGCAGGTACAGTATGCTCACCAGGCCCAGTTTACTATACAAAATCAGTGCCTATCCATGATGAATCAATTACTCTGAAGTTTGTTTTCTGTCATTTTAAACCCTCCATTAAAAAGTATAGTTACTTTGGAAGAGACAATATAAGGACGTTCAACACTTCATTTTCTACCCTACTTTTTTATTTTTAATTAAAGGCTACAGCCCCTGCAATCCTGCCATTTATCTTCAGTTACTGCCTCTCTTTTGATGTCAATGCATCCTGTTAGTAACAGAATGTATTCAAAAACCGGTATTGGCACTGAATGAATATGAGTTGCATTTTGGGGCCACCACTCAAAAACTTTATTTAATCATTAAACCTTAAAGTGTTATGATTTCCTTTTTATTCACATTTAACAATGAAATTTAAGAACATAAATAAGGACACAAATTACAGGTGGACTAATTGCTCTTCTGTCCCACTGGGTAGTTAGTAACTAATTGATCCAAGCATTCATCTGTTTTTTTTTAAAGAAACCAGGATATCAGCTTGAACAACACTGACACTTGACTGTATAGCTTGTTCAATACTCGCACAGCCCTTTATGTTAAAAATTCCCCCTGCACCAAGTTTTAAATGCAGTTTCATGTAGTTTCCACTTGTTTCACTGCTCTGAGTGAATGAAACACTATCTAGAACATTAACTTTTATTATTTATTACCAATTTTACCCCTATCTACACCTTTGTAGACTTCAGAATTGAAGAAAACATCAGCCATGTACTGTAACATTATAGTAGTTGATTCAGGACAATGCTTAAGTAAATAAGAACTGAACCCATGATTGCTCCTAAACACCTATAGTAGCTAGGCATAGACAATGGCAATAACATGGAGCTCAGGGAAGCTCAATTTCTTGTTGTTTTTTTAAATGTGCAGATAACCTCAAATATGAAAGTGTGGGCTATCTTTCAGAAATCTTTACTCAATGTTTGCTAGTGACGCGTATCCAAAGTTAAACTGAGTCATGTTATTGTTTTAGTTTTCTCAGATTTATTTGTGAATTAAACGCCCTGTACATTTCTATACTAACAATATAAAAAGAAAACACTTTGAGTGGATACATTTAACACATTCTATTTAGAGAGAGAACATTTCATTGAGGATTCCAATGAACACGGTTTCAAAAGGCTGATAGATCTTTTTAATAGTGCTCATCCTGCCTGAGATTACTTACCTATGAAAGAGGTTTCACAATACATTTTACTTTTAATGGATCTGGCTCACATGAACATTTAGCAAGGACCCAAAAATGTGTTAAATTAATGAATGTATTATCCTTAATGGCAGGGATATATTTCGCTCCTGAGGCAGACAGTTTGCAAGATTACAAGGAGTACATTGAAAATCTCCCTTTGATTGATGATCCAGAGATTTTTGGAATGCATGAAAATGCCAACTTGGCTTTTCAGGTTTGTAAGCATTTTAATTAGCCTTTACAGGCCTTTTCTAAAATTGCCATGATTGTGAAAACATCCACACAAGGTTTTGACTATAATTGTATTACTTAATATTCATAATAATGTAATATACAGTATGGCAGGTATTTTGAGTTCAATGTTTCTGTCAACCATATTTAAAGTGACATGTTTGTATTGTATTGACATGTATTGCAAATAGTATCAAAATAGTAACAAAAACAAAAAAAACTTTTCTTTAGATTATGTTTCTCGTCACAGTAAGAATACTTCACAGATTAGACAAAACTCAGTTATTTGTATATTTTATGATGATAGGCTAATAATTATAATACTTGGATGTCTTCAGACTTTCTTTTTTTCTTTTTGTTTTTTAAAGCCCCATAACAATGTCAGACAGAGCTTTCGCACATTATGCACTTTTAGTGCATTTGCTAATTTAATCATACAGCTTAATATTAATAGGAATTATTCACAAATGATCTATTTGTGAGACAATCTTTAACCTAGTTCTCTGCCTTCATGTAATCTTTGTTATCACCCAAAATGTAGAAGTCAAAATGTCTAGAAATGGAGTACTATAATAGTATCACACTCCATCCTCATTATTCTTAAAGGTGACACTTTCAAGATTAGCTGAATTCATAATAGATATGCAAGAAATAGTTACTGTTACTGCTGAAAAATTACCCAGTGTTTTGCTCTCATTCACACAGCGTCAGGAGACTGTGACTCTTATCAACACTATCCTTGAAGTTCAGCCCAGGTCTTCTGCACAGGGGGCTGGAAAAAGCAACGATGAAATAGTCCAGGAGCTAGCAGACTCCATATTATCTAAAATCCCAGGTGAGCATTGATCATAAGCATTGAAGACTTCACTGTTTTAAATTTGTCTCTTAGAAGTGGATCTACTGTACATACAAAAAATCCAGAGACTGCATGACAAGCTGATGGTACCACAGTATATTGGGGAAGTAAAAATACTTAAATTTGCCCTTGCTAGGACAAAGGTCTATAGCAGAAAAGAGCCAGATTAATTCCATGGAGTCCTTCAACAATTTCAGAAGATACCATGTCAAACACATCAAATCTGTGAACATCAAAAAACATATACTGAGATACTTCAGCTGAAGAAAAATTAGTTGACCACTAATTAACTTTTTCCACTAATAAAACCTTTAAATTCCTTATTTGGATTACTCATTAATTCATAGTATTAAGACAAAGCATTTGTTAATGTTTTCAAGTCATCTTCATTCCTTCATTTTCATAGAAAAACTTGAAATGGAAGAAGCTTCAGAGACCTTGTTTAGCAAAGACGCATATGGACGAGTCAATTCATTAACTACAGTACTGGGACAGGAAGTTGATCGTTTTAACAACCTGTTGAAGCTGCTCAGGGTGAGTGTAAATGCGCAGGAACAAACACACAATGGATAATGTGGTCAATGAACACCCCATATTCTCATTCTGTATGTAAGGCATATTTATAATAGTCCAACACAGAATCACATTGCACACTGATTTAATTCTTAAACAGAGATAATCTTTGTTTTCTTTTTGCACGTAAAACCAACTTTTTCATTTACTACTCAGTTATTAAACTCAAAACAACATATGCAGTAAAATAAATATTAAAATCACTTGACATGACATGATTTTAACATGGATTATGCAAAATCTTCAATGTAAAAGTGGAGAATATATACAGTACAGAGGTTGCCATCAGTATGCTAAAACAAAGCAAGACTGTAGTGTAAAACAGAGCCCTCTTTTACATTATGGCATTATGCCTCCTTTGTTTTATTCATCTGCAGAAGGAACTTGCTGCTCTACTTTCAGCAATCTATTTAAACGTTACACATGTAATAGAAATTCTTTTTATTATGGACCCACTAAACCTTTTTTTTACATGAATGTCGAATTTGTGTAAGTTGAGTCTTGCATTACCTGGGGAAAGACAGTATTCAGTGAGTTTAAATTTGTTTCATAAGTTTGACATAGTTTGACATTATAGGGGATGACATTACATTAAAGAGCGTGGGTGGTACTTTAACTGTGGTAAAGCCTGTATTTGCGAAAAACATGTTTTCAAGCATTGAGAAGCAACAAGCCTTCCAAACTAATTAGCTAGTCAGTCATCTAATTAATATTAAATTAGTGATCAAATGCCTATGCATGATGTTTAGTGGTGGTTTAGTAAAGTTTGAAAATGAACAGTGTTTAAACAACCCTAAATCAAAACTACAAGGATTTTTTTCTCTTAGTGTTTTCCTATTTCAGGTGAACATTGTTAAAGGCTTTTTCTTCAACTAGTTCTTTTTTTACAGAGAAACTCAAGTGAGACATCTCCATGCACTCTTACAATAAACGTTATCATTGCATCTGTTTTCTGCTTCTTCTCATTTAACCTTATTTGACACAATCTGGAAAACTTGAACATTCTGTGCAATAGCGATGAACAGCCAATCTTTGCCTTCAATAAATGTCAAACTGTGATAACTGGCATTGTTTTTTTTAGTTTCCTTTCAGCTACTTGCAAGAGTGAGATAGTGGAAATGTTGTTTTGAGAGCTGTATTTAACTGTTTCAGCATTATGCAGTGGAGAATTTGCAAGTATTACTCTCAGAGAAATATAATGAAAATTGCTGAAGTTGCCTGTTATTTGTATTTATAATTTACATTCTTTTATTATTTAAGCTGTGGCTGTATAACATATTCTTCCCAAAGCAGTGTATAAAGAAAGCCATTTAATTCAACTACAGAATGGCATCGCCTTTGAAAAATATCCAGAAGTTAAAGAATGACAACATAATGTAGATATGCTGTAGCTGCCTGTATTTATTATAATGCACCAATGATGTCTCTCCCTTGTACAGTACATATGTCACAGAGGACTATTTTAAGAAGTTGCCCCGTGAGACATATAGGCTTTCACTACAGTATTAAAGGTTAAGAGCAGGAGAACATTTAATTTGGAGCAAAGCTCATAGAAATATAAGATGGAAGAGCAGTGTTCTGGGCTGAGCACTGGAAGGTTTGGTGTGAAGATTTATTTTTGACAGGAACTGCTTTTGTGCTCTTGGATAAGTTACTTCACACAGATTGCTGCTGTGAAATACCAGATTTTATAAATGGTCACATTAGTCACTGTGGATGAAAACATCAGCCATACAGTACTGTATATAGTAAATTAATATTAGAAATCACTGGCATATAGGAAATGTAAGGTACAGTACAGTATGTCACATTTCCTCAAATTGCCCTGCCTCTCTGTCAATCTCTGTGCAGGAACTAATTAATGGTTATTTAATTTAGCACAAAACACACAGGTCCAGGGGTGCACAAATCCTAAAATAATAATCTAAATATAAGTTATATAGCTGCACATCATTAAATACATTAACAAAGGTTATCTTCTTTGTTCTTTACACACATACTGTACACATAACATCTGCTTAAGACATTTTTCTGTTTTTTTCTGTGTCACTATGAGTTGAAGAAAGCTTGAAAAGACAGTGGGTTCACTGGAATCCTTCAGGAAGAAGTGTGGCTGAATAAGATACCAGTAACAAAACCAGCAAGATGGACAGAATGGCCTGCTCTTTTCTTTAACCTATTATATTCCAGTGATTCGTTTATTGACATTTACTTCTTAAAATATGGAACTCAATGAACCAGCATATATGTTGTCTTTTTAATTGTCTCCCCCCACCAGAACTCTTTAAACACACTAAAGAAAGCTATCGCTGGATTTGTGGTTATGTCAGAGGAGATGGAGAAAATATACAACAGTTTCCTCAACAACCAGGTCCCTGACCATTGGGCCAATGCTGCATATCCCTCTTTAAAGCCTTTAGGAAGCTGGGTGAAAGATTTGGCCCTCCGTACTGCCTTCATTGACGTAAGTGCTTTCCCTGATACACTCTCACTCAGGCAATGAACAGCTGGCTTTTTTGACTATACTGCATGTTGTTGCTCAGTCTGTTGTTGTCATATCTTTATATGGATATAGGTATATCTATAGTCTAATGTAACACCATTACTTTCTTACTGGCTGTGTGGAAAAGAACAAATTAGTTTTCTGTTTGTAATCTATGCAGATTGTTAGTACTTTAATAACAATATTCCAAATTAACACAGAATTAGAATGATAG